CCCCCCAGTGTTTCCACATCGTCGAATCCGGCCCCCTTTAGGAAAGATTTAACACCCCTGCATTACACGTATACATTCATATCGACCATAAAATTTGCTGTCAATCAGTGTGCATTTACGGTTGCAGTGTATGAAAATTATATATTGAGTAAATAATAAATTAAAAAAAAATAATATATTTTGTCCTGCAAAGTGACTGAAGTATTTTCACAGAGTTCAATTCAAAATTTTGCCCACTGCGCGACTCTCATCTATGTTTTGAACACTTCTGTTCAAACGTGGGATAAGTTCATTTTTTTAATAGATAATAGTACTTTAAGCAAGGAAGCATTACATTTATCAAAAGTGACAGAACAGATATTGTTACAAAAGATTTCTATTTCAAACCAATGCTGTTCTTTTGAACTTTCAATTCTTCAAAGAATCCTGAAAAATGACCGCGGTTTCCTCAAAAATATTAAGCAGCACAAATGTTTTCAACACTGATAATAAGAATCTTTAGCACCAAATCAGCATATCTGAATAATTTCTGAAGGATCATGTGACACTAAAAACTGCAGTAATGGCTTCTGATAATTCAGCTTTGGCATTACAGGAATACATTTTACAATTTATTTGAAATTATAATAACATTGCACAATATTAATTGTATTTTTGACCAAATAAATGCAGCCCTTTTAAGCGTAAGAAAAAATTATTTCCGACCCCCAACTTTTCAACTATAGTGTTAGAATAATTTGAAAAAGTATCATAACACATCAAATCAATTATTCCCCCACCCCTGCTTTCTGTGCACACTCACAAAGTCTTGCCGGATATCATTGAAGTCTTTGCCGTACTTCTCCAGCGCCTCCTCAAACAGGTTTGCCTCTGATGAGCTCCACTCCTCCATCTCATCCCGGCACAGCACGGGCCCTCCTTGAGGAACGAGCACGCTCAAAGCACTGGAGAGGTCATAGCCGTGCCGGTGCAGGGTGTCCATGGCATGGAACTTAAGAGAGTGAGATAGACAGATAGGGAGAGGATTAATCAGGTTTTTTTCTTTTTAACACCGGATATATGGAGCGAGACAGATGGTGCTGATGGGATGGGTACCAGTGTGATGTCTCGTGAGGCTGCCGCGGCGCTCATGTGTAAGCTGGGCTGTCTGACGGAGCTGCTGCAGTCCAACGCTCGAGCAAAAGTACCAACCGCTCTGCACACAGATCACCAGATTCATCATGCAAATTTAATTATGCCATCAGTTTGACACAGTTTCCAGTGTCTTCTACAGCAGTGGTCCTCAAATGGCAGGTCACAACCCAAAAACAGATCACAGGTTTGTTCTGATGGGGTCATGGAGAGCAGGGGGGAAAAAATATGCAATTGTTTAGTGCAAATTTATCTGTAACAGCTAGGTATCGATACAGATTTCCTGATTTGATCGGATTCCAGTTTATAAGCTTTCAAGTCAATTAAATTGGGTATATTTAAAATATAATGTCCCTTTTGCTATAAACAATCAATATTTGGATCACAATGTGTTTTGTGCAGAGACTTATTGGCTGGCAAAGCCATGAAACAATTTAAACTCTAAAGATATTCAGAAACCATACAAACTGTAGAGACAAGTCAGCTGGGGTTTTTTTAT